GAATCGGTTGAATGTTAGCCGTGACGCTGATGATCATAGCGTTTGTTTACAAAAAGAAATCAGACTTTTCTTCATGTAAACTCGTTTCTTTGCTTCTCAGTTGAGTTTTCCTTCAGCTGCACTTTTTCGTCTCGTTTCTCGGTGGATCGAGTGCGTCCGGTCGGCCAACCAGCCATCTGGATCATTTCCTGCTGACTACAAGTTCAATCAGGTCGATCTGAAGAGAAGCTGAATGTTAAATTTAGAAACACCGATTTCCCTCCACGACACCAAAATGAAATCAGACTTTATTTCAGTGAAAACACAAAATCCTGTTTCGTCTTCGTCCTTGAAGAGCGAACTCCACCGTGTGGCTGATTGTAATATTATGCTTTTAATATGTTCACCGTTACATTTTTATCCTGCTTTGTTTCAGAATTTCGTGTCGCTGACAGCGAGTCCGACTGAAAGAGTCCTGAACTGTCACGACCCAAATAAATAAAGTGAATAAATAAAAAAACATCTGGTCTGGAAACGTCACGTCACAACGCGTCACAAAAATTATAGTAAATCTATTGTAGGAGCAAATGTTCTCATTAAACTTCAATAGTTTTCTGTGTTTTCAGAAAAAAAATCTTCAGTGTCGATAATTTTGGGATTAAGAATCTTGGGTTTGTTGTAGTTTTAATGTTTTATTTGACTGCTCGGTTACAACGGCGTCGCTGGGAAACTGGGACCAACTCAAGACTAAAGAACACGACACATGAGTACTGTGTGAACCAACGTAAATAGAATTTAGCTTAGTTTAGTTTTGTTTAGCTGATTAGTTGATTCACCGTGAAATTAATTAGCAACAGTTCTGATCACTGATGACGACAAAGATTTCCTGATTCCAGACTCAAACGACTGGCAGACGAGTTCATGACAGAATTTGTCTGTTGCAGGTCGATGCCAGAGCAGCTCTCAGGATGAATCCACTCGCCGCCCTCAGCATCGATCGCTCTGCTCTGGTCGGTGAAAACCTTCGTCCTCACGGAGGAGTTTTCTATCCTGGCATCCATCCCCTCTCTGCTGAAAAGCCCCTGCAGCCTGGATCCAACCTCCCATTTGGCTACGAGCTTCTGTACAAACCAGATGTGACCCTGCTGGACGGACAGAAACTGGCCAGTGGATACGTCGGTCTGTATAAGAGTCCAGCTTCGGGGCCACAGAAGCCTTTGCTTGTGCAGACTGCAGGAGGTGAAGGTCTGAGATTGGACCGCCGAGTTCTCCCCAACGACAAGCAGTTGGAACTAGGCCTGAATGGTGCCGGTAGTTTCCTGCGGCTGCCCTGGATCAGCCCCTATGCTGATGCTACCATGTACCCCTTCCTGGACATGGCTTACAAGGCCTCCTTCCTGTCCCAGCCGTCACCCTTCATCCACCAGCAGATGGCTTATCAGGCTTTGTGTTCCAGCAGGGCGGGAGGCAGCACACCTGGCGAGGACAGACTCTTTTACCTGCCTTCTTATATCTCCTCCCCACTCTGTCCACCAATCAGATTGTCATCAGGTGCTTCATCATTGCCCCACTGCCAGGACAAGAACCTGCAGGGCCTCGGTCCTCATCAGGAACCTTCTGCCTTCAGCTCCGGTCCTCAGATCCACCAGGAGACCCCGATTGTTCATCACACAAAGTCCAGTCAGAACACCTCCACCAAGAACACTCTGAGCAAAAGCAGCATTGGAAGCAGCACTGCTCATGTTAGCAGTTCAGCTAGCAGCGCTGCTACATCGGCAGGCTCGGTTCCCCCACATCAACCCCACAGCAGCTCCACGGACCTCCAGAAGTCCCTTTACAGAAGCACTTCCTCATCCTCAGCCTCACTTTCAGCCTCTCAGCCCTATTACATGAGCTCAGACAGCAACAAAACCAAAGACAGCAGCTCAGACCACAGGAATGCAGAAAGGTGTTCATCACCTGCAAAGATGCTGCTGAACAGAACTGTACCTCAAAAGGCTGCCAAACCCCCCACAGAAAAACCTTTAGATTTGTCTGCCAAAGAGTTGGAAGGATTCCCAAATGGATTCCCTCCCAAGTTAGAGGCTCTGGCCAAGTTGGGTTATTTACCCCCATCCGGTTATGAGCTGCGAGCCGGTCAGGACCAGAACCTCCAGGAGGTTCTCCTCCCACCTGTTGGTACAGCAGCAAAGACTCCAGATCGTCCTGACAAGATCAACACTGCACCTTCCACTTGGGTTCCTCCGGTTCCTTCCTCCAACGTCGCCTCCCAGACCACGAAAAATAAGAGTGTAGAAAATAGTCCTCCTCAGCCACAGCCTCCCAGCTCACCTGGTTCCTCCACAGCTGAGTTAACCAGTGTTCCCAGTCCGGCCTCAGGGGGGCGTCCATCTGTGATGCCTCCTTCCCCGCAGTCCAAAGCTGGATGGCCACAAGTCTCCCCTATCGATTCTGACAAAAGTCCTAACAGCAAAGAAGAAACTTGCTCTGGAAAACAGGACATTGGTCCAGTTACGCCTGAAGCTTCAGACAACAAACTTTATCCTCAACAGCAGCCTCGTGTGGAAAACGAAAACTCATCCAGCCAAATCTATGGTGACTCCTACCTCCCTCCAAGCTTAGGTTACACCAACCGCTACATCCCATATTCAGTTGCAGAGAACATGTCCCTGCGCCGCATCTCGATTCCAGGCAAAGGACCTACGTTCTCCCATCCACTGCTACTTGGAAGCAGCAACTTTTACCCACCTCACATTGCACCAAAACATGGCCTCCAGTATGGAGTGCATCCGTACCAGAACCCCCAGGAGACGGCCAGCACTCCCATGTCGCTTTATCCAAGTCTTGAAGGCAAAGACCAACCTGAGAACAAGTCAAAAGTCAAGGACAAATTCTGGAATGCAGAAGCGAACAGGAACCATGAAAGGCCAAATGTTGACAGCGAGAGAGACAAGTCCACGAACCAAACCACAAAGTCTTCAGGCAAAAGCCTCACAGGCATCAGAGATGACATAGTTTGCATCGACTTGGTGCGAGATGATGTAGATGAAGATTCGTCTACCAACAAGCGCAGCTCCACGTCCATAAAGACAGAGGATTTGTTCAAGCAGGGCGGCAGTGGATGTAACCAGATCCAGGACAAAGAGCCGTGGCCTCACAAAAGCCAGAATACAGAGCAGAGACTGGACTCGATGCCCCACAGTCCTGTTCACCACAACTCCTCCTCACCTCTCTTAGAGGAGTTGGCAGAAGAGGAGGAGACACTCAGTCCATCTCCAGAGATCCCAGAGGAGCAGACGATGCGATGTGCCCGGACTTCTTCACAGCAGTTTTCTAGGAAATGTAAAACTCTAAACGTTGGGGACTTGATGATGAGTGTTCCCAGTGGTGGGAATAGTGCCTCCAACAAATCAGAGGCTTCAGGAAATAAAAACGTCACACCTCAGATAAACGCTTCCAAAGACGGCAACTCATCGGTTCCTGGAAGCAAAGAAAGTTGTTTTGGTGAAGCCCCCAGTTCTAGCAACACGGAAGCAGTCAGGAACCCAAAGAGACCAGATTATGGATTCAATTCAGAAGGTCCAGTCAGCAGCAGTAGAGAAGGAACATGTGGAGATCTCAGTCCTCAGGTTCCATCATGCAGGAGTTTAAATCCAGCTGGAGGAGTCATGACTACGAGGCCTCCATCAGGTGTCAGCACCAACCCAAGAAGCTCCACCTGTGATGGAAATGCTAATTTCACCAACCGGAGTTTCATGGGACCATCTTGCAGAAATCTGAGTTTGAAGGCTGAACCCAGAAGTTTCAGTGGCCCAACTGGTGGTAACTTTACCTGCAGGAGCATCAGTCCACAGTTTACAAACAGTGAAAACCACAACGCTGTTCAGCCAAACGCAAACCTCAGACCTCCGGCATCCAGAAAGAACTTCAGCAGTCCAAGTTGTGGAGGTTCTGTCTCTGAAGCAAACAGTAACCTTAAGGGTTCCACATATAGAGGCATTTTACCTCAAGGTCCAGCCAGTCAGAACCTTCCACTCACCAATGGAGGCTTCCCCAGGACGTCTGCAGAGGTGCTTCCAGAGCCGCCGGTAAACAAAGACCTCAGCTCCGGTGAGACGGTTCCGATCCAGACCAGTGCCGCCTGTGGAGGCGGGACAATGGACTCCAGCGTCCAGGATGGTTTGGATCTCCTGGCAGATGAAGACGAGGGCGGCAGCAGAAACCGGCGCTCTGGCCTCACCAGGCGAATCGCCAACTCGTCCGGCTACGTGGGCGACCGGATCAAATGTGTGACCACGGAGCTGTACGCCGACTCGAGCAAACTGAGCCGAGAGCAGAGGGCGCTGCAGGTACGTCCTGAAGATTTAGCTTTAGAGAGACTGATCTTCAAGGTGTCTGTCTGTGGACGTTTCGTCTCTTTGTGGTTCTTTTGTGTCTCTGTG